AGAAGCAGCGTCCTCGATTCCTCATGAGTCGGAGTCAGAGTCGCCAGATGGGAGACAACGCGAGGCTGGACTCGCGCAGGAGCAGCACGACCACTAGTATCGTCAACCAGGTGGGTCCTGGTGTTCCTGTACCTTTTCCAATACCAAGACTAATTCTCTTCTGTCTCTGTGACTTCCAACAGATTTCAAGAATGTATCCCCTTTAATCAAGGACAGTATCTGCTAAAAAAAAAAAAATACTGAACTGTTAAATAGCACAAGGACCGTTTACAAAAAAACTGGAACTGTATATGTGATCGTACCAAAGGCAAAAGTCGTTCCGAATAACAGGGAGATGGCGCCGTGTTAATGTTAGATGTGGAATCCGACTCCAAACAAACCTTTGCTGTTGCTGTTTGTTAAAAATTCATCGTGTATGATGCTTTTCGCGTGGTTGATGTGTACTTATAGTTCGTGTCCATGTTCTTTATGTCCGTTGCTACATGTGGCTATATTATTAACTGAGCTTCTTGTCTTTTTCTAAAACTTGCTCCTCTCAATGTGCAAGTGAAACTAAAAGAGATAGAGTGCGAACGGTAATCAACCAATATCATAACAATATAATTCACTTAAATAAATAAATTAATAGATAAATAAATAAATACATGTATGTATATATATATATATATATATATATATATATGTGTGTGTGTGTGTGTGTGTGTGTGTGTGTGTGTGTGTGTGTGTGTGTGTGTGTGTGTGTGTGTGTGTGTGCGTGAGTACATATATAAGTGCATACATATATACACAAACAAACACACACACACACACACATATATATATGTGGGTGTGTGTATGTGTGTGTGTGTGTGTGTATGTGTGTGTGTGCGTGCGTATTTGCGTATTTGTGTGTGTAAGTGAGTGTGTGTGTGTGTGTGTGTGTGTGTGTGTGTGTGTGTAAGTGTGTGTGTGTAAGTGTGTGTGTGTGTATGTGTGTGTGTATGTGTGCGTACATATATATATGCGCGCGCGCGCGCGCGTGGTGTGTGTATATATATATCCCAATGCCGACGAGTATGACGTGTACGCCCACTGTGAGTACGTGTTTGATTGTTTTTACACATAGATGGCTACACTTGTACTAAGTCACCAATGAACCAGTTACGAGCATTACCTGTCTCGCCCGTTTACCCTTTTCTTTGATTTACGAAATATTTTATGTTATATTATTATTATGCAGTTACTAATGTTAAAAAACATTATAATAATTATAATGTTTATGATAAAAATAACACCATCGATATTCGTTTTTTCCCGCCATTTCAAAGCAGGCACTAGCAGAGCCATCTATGGGCAGAAATTTCACAAAACAGAAAATAGGCACAGCATTTTCCCCATTTTTTCATTTTCCCCGGCAGAATTAGGATTGGGATATATTTATATATGTATATATATATATATATATATATATACATATATATACATATATATATATATATATATATATATATATACATATACATATATATATATATATATATATATATATATATATATATATATATATATATATATACATATATATACATATATATATACATATATATATATATATATATATATATATATATATATATGTGTGTGTGTGTGTGTGTGTGTGTGTGTGTGTGTGTGTGTGTGTGTGTGTGTGTGTGTGTGTGTGTATACTGAGACCAAATTCAGTACTAAGATCCAACGAAATTAAGGAACAAACCCTGAAAAAGAGTTGTGGCAGTATCTGTGAGTGGAACAAGGTTATAGGGGCAGGACTGCCCTGAAAGAAGGTCCAGGCGAGATCATGCAGTCTTTTATAATTTTCAAGTTTATTTATTGAGCCAAGAGGCAGTTCATTTTAAAATATTCAACAGTTCATGAAGATCTACACAAGAACTAAATACTTTATGCCTGCAACAGCTTCACTAGATCGTTTTGCAGGACACTCCTTACCTTAGTAACTTTCTTGTGACATTCACGGATAACTAACACAGATGTGATTTTTTTTCCTAGTTTGTTCTATAAATTCACTGGCATTGACCAACCCGGATGCACATGCGTATATATATTTGTGTATATATATTTTTTCCCCTGTGATGTCATCATTTTCACTGCAATTCACTGTTTTCTGTTGAGCACCTTTAACAGTCACCTATAAGAAAAATAATAGTGAATTAGAAATAAGATAAGGTACCTTTAACATAAAACAATTGCAAGAGTGTATATTAATTACAATGGATATAATTAATTAACAAGATTACACAGATGATTTATAGATACCATACATATATATATATATATATATATATATATATATATATATATATATATATATATATATATATATATATATATATATATATGTATGTATGTATGTATGTATGTATGTATATTTATTTACTTATTCATCATTTATTTATTTACTTAAATATTTACACAGGATGATGATAGATTTTTTGTTTCACATGCACATCAGAGTTTCAATGTT